ATTATTCACTGGTAAATTATCCTTCTTTCTGGGGGTTGTGAGAAGGATAGAGAATGGTCTGCTGCTACCGTAAACTAGTGTAATAAATAAACAAGATGGCTGGTTGTCAAGGGGTAAAAATTACACCGTTGAAAATGCAATCAGGCTTCAGAGACCTTCATACTTAAACTCTGCAGTAAGGAGAAACAGTATTTTATAGTTCAGCCTTGAAGGTCATTTTTTTTTAAACTGTAATTGAGAACTTAAGACTAATCACCATTAACTGCCATAGAAATATAAGAAAATATATCAACAATTAAAGCTTATATCAAGTGATAAAACTACATGTTTCATTTAACATTGTATAGGAACCCTGTTTAGCTAGTGAAATCATCTAACATTGTGGCTAAAATTGAAACTGAAATATTTACTTAGTTGTTGATAAGTGATGTCCATTAGTCATTCATTAGAATGTTAAAATATCCTATTTTAAAACTAAGGTTATAACCAAAGTAGTCAAGATAGAATAAGTAAACCAAATTGCCCACAATTTAGCAAACATTTAAATAATCTTTTACTATGATTCAAATAATTCAAATAGTTTTAAATCCTGATAATGAAAAATAAATGTTTAGCTTAAAGGTGACTATTCATATCCCTTTGATCAAATAGTTATAGCCAGGTCATGGTAAAGGAATAATTTGTGCCTATTTTGGGGGTTACATTTTGTTTTGTTTTGCTTTGTGTTTTTAGTATGGGTGTATCTCAAGTCTGGCCACATCTTTCTGAGTGAAAGTGACAGGGAGACCCAGGAGTTTCACATCAAAAGAAGCAAAACTCAAAAATAACCAATAACCAAAGAAGAAACAGTCCGATATAACAGCAAGAAGCCAAAATGCTCCTGGCTCATCCAACTGAGAGCCTGAGATTTTCAAGGGGGTTTTTTCCTAGACTTTGTCATGTCTGGCCTGCAGTGGAAATCACTGTAGAATGACTGGGTTTCATCTTGCCCTGTTGTTTCTCCTGTACTGACATGCTTTTAGATATAGCTATCAAAGAAAGGATTAGTAACCTGGCCTATTCTCAGACTGTTTTCTTTACCTTTTTGCCTCAACTGAAACCCGGCTCTCCACTATTGACAATGCTCCCGTCACATCACTATTCAGCAGTAGCTCCCGTTTCTCCCAGGCCCTTATACCACTAGCCATAGGAGAACACTATGAAGTGTCTTTATGTCCCTGCTCATTCTCTGAAGATTTTACCTCCTGGTTCAATCGCTGTTTCTTGTACGATTTACTCCTGTCTTAGCTCTTGACAATATCAATATCCACATAGACACAGTCTGGCCTCTTTTTCCATAGCTCTTTCCCCTGTTGATCAGCTACCACCCTTCCATGGTCCTGCCTCAACCCTGACACTGTCATTACCAGTATCTGCACTCGTTTTACGATCAGATTTTCAACAATTCCAATTGCGGGTCTTTTCCGCGTACTTTTTCTAATTCTTTGCATTGACAATAAATTAGGTCTATCGATCCTCCGTTCTTTGTGCTCACTCTCATTGTATCCTTACTTTATTCCACACCCAGTTCAGGTATGTCGGTCCATCAGTATGAACACCCCTTGTCAGACACTCTCACTCCCATTTGTCCTAACCTCATCTAGCTCATTTCCCCCTTCCCAGCAAAGCCCTAGCTCTGACTAAATCCAAATCTACCTGTTCTATGCCTGAATCCCCAGCTGAAGGCTGGAAAAAAGTACACAATTATGCTGAATTATCTCACTTAAAGGCTTTCCTGATGACTCAGATGGTAAAGAAACTACCTGCACTGCAGGAGACCTGGGTTCAATCCCTGGGTGGGGAAGATCCCCTGGAGGCGGGCATGGTCTTCAAAAATTCAAAAAATTGAATTTTTTCAGTTCTCCTTTCATCTTAATCAAATCCTCACTTAATCAAATCCAAAAGATCATTCTCATCAAAATCGAAACATGCTGACTGTTTTCAACTCCAAGCTTTCCATCTACCAGCACCAGTCCCCAGTTTATCACTTTTCATTTTCTCTTGGACCCCTCCAATCAGACTATTTTGTATACCACCTACTAAAATTGCTTTTGGTGAGATCACCAGTGACCTCCATCTTGCTCAATCTAGCTGTCAGTACTTGGTCTGCACTTTTCTTAACCTGTAGTAGCATTTGATGGAGTGGATCCCTTCTTCCTCTCTTGGCTTCAAGATATCACCTTCACCCAGTTTGTCTCTTACCCTTTGCCTCCGTCTCAGTCTCTGGCTCAGATTCCCCTTCTGTTCTGCATTTCTAAATGTAGACATGCCCAGAAGTCATAGGCCTTTTCTGTCTCTGCTGCTGCTGTGCTGTGCTCCATCCTGTCTGACGCTCTGTAACCCTATGGACTGTAGCCCGCCAGGCTCCTCTGTCCATGGAATTCTCCAGNACATGCCCAGAAGTCATAGGCCTTTTCTGTCTCTGCTGCTGCTGTGCTGTGCTCCATCCTGTCTGACGCTCTGTAACCCTATGGACTGTAGCCCGCCAGGCTCCTCTGTCCATGGAATTCTCCAGGCAAGAATATTGGAGTTGGGTGCCGTTCCCTCCCCCAGGGGATCTTCCCAATCCAGGGCTCCAACTCTTGCACCTCCTGCATTGGCAGGTGGATTTTTCACCACTGCGCCACCTAGGAAGCCCTTTCTGTCCTCTATCTGCACTCAGTTAGAAATCTCATCTGGCACAACTCTCACATATATATTCCCAGACCTAATCTCTCCATTGTGCCCTTGATACAACCACAGTCAGTTATGCTCTGTAACACTTAATGCAAATTTATTCCAAAGTGATTGATATTAGAGAACAATTTGAGCATAAAGCTAATTTACAAATTGCTTTGACTTATGGCAATTTTGTTCTACCATGTACATATGTTTCTTAGCAGTAGAAATTTTAATTTTGTTTTGTTTGTTTATCTAGAGGCTGGGTTTTATGTTTTGGTTTTCTGGTCATATAACCATGCCAGGAATACCATGTATAGTTGATAAATATTTGTTAAATGAATGAATAAATGGGTTCAGGAGATCTTGTAAAGTCTGAGGGATATATGCAAACTGTTTTGTACAAGTGCAATTTTCTGAAGAAAGAGACAGTACTTTCCTGTGTTTTCAAAGAGATTCCTAACTACCTGCCCACACACACACACACAAAAAAAAAACAGTAATGATATAATTCTAACAATGACTCATTAGGACTTTTTTCTGACCCTCAGAAGTAGACTACATTATTTAAAACACTCATATAAAAATAATAATGCTAAAATATTACATACAGATTTTAAAAGTACACCAAATGTTTAAAAAATAATAGAATTTGGATCTCAAAATGACAGTATTGCTACTGCTTTTGGTTTTGCTGGCTTTGTTTAATTTTAAAAATATATCTTCATATCTTTATTACAAAGGTATTAAACATTTATCATAGATCTAAACTCAGAAAAGCAACCTATAAATCATTTATAATTTTATCACACAGTGTTACTATTTCACAGTATACTCCTTGAGGCTCATTTCTATGCATGAGAGTTATTCTTTATAGATGGACAAATCTTCTTGTAATACAAATAAGTCTCCTCCATTTGTTCTCTGCAAGTTTTTAGTATAATATGCAGTACCAACTGAATTTTTTAAAGTATGAAAATGAAAACTAAAGAAAAAGCAAAACAGTCTACAGAACAAATAAAATAGATGGTTAAAAGAGATCCTTGCAAAGAATATATTATTCACAGAAGTTTTTAACCCTTTATTTATGCTTATGCTGTTCTTATTTTATAAAATACCATATACTTGGTTACTCAGTCTCTACAAAATATTACAGAAATAGAAAATTTTATACAGAGGACAAAGTGACTGCTACAGGTCATCATACTGACAACAATAAAATGAAGCTTGACAAAATAGAAAAAAATAGACACGCTTAAATATCCCCAGTGTAGAGCAATATGAGGCCACTTAGTATGGGAGTAAAAGGCCCTAAATAGCTGAATTGCTCCCAAGGTCACAGTTTTACAGCCGGTATAATAGAAGTCATAAGAATCACTGAGGGGAAAAAATATTTTATTGTGTTACTCACTGGATTAAGAACCAATCCAGGTAGTCAAAATTTTTAAAGTATTAAAGCTTTAGATACTGTAACTGTTTGGCTCTTTAGACTGACCCATTTTCCAAGAATGACTGCTTAAATACTATAGTGAAAATATTTGCTTTTATATTGAGAAACGCATGTTTACAAATGATATGGTAGTAAGATGTGTGGCTCAGAGAAGGAGGGTGCACTTTTAAATTATTTACAACACTGTCCTTTGTATTTGGAGAATGGAGATAAACTAAAAGTTTTGCTGAAAGGTTTATATATAGAAAAAGGGAAAATAAAGGTAATTATTAGGGTGATGTTAAAAATTCTAGAAAGAGATATATTCAAACATGAAGCAACTGAAATAGAGACTACGGAAATAATTTCCTGGTTTTCTCCTTGTCAGCCTTAATCTAGAATGAGCCAATACTTCAGTCAAATGGACCCAGCCCATACCTCACAGAAACCAATCTAAGAGCACAAACTTTCAACCGATATTGTTTGAACTGACTGAATATTAGGCATGTGGTAGTTTAATCGCTAAGTCGTTTCCAACTCTTTCAACCCCATGAACAGTAGCCCAACAGGCTCCTCCGTCCATGAGATTTTCCAGGAAAGGATACTGCAGTGGGTTGCCATGCCCTTCTCCAGGGGATCTACCAGACGCAGAGATCAAACCCAGGTCTCCTGCATTGCAGGCAGAATCTTTACCAACCTCATTCTTATTGACATGGCAGCCAACATTCTTCTAAGCCCTTTTCAAGATTATCCTCTATATGAAGGAAAGTGCCACATTATCATACCTAGTGAAATAGTTGTTGACTTTATACCTCTTGAAAATTAGTTGAACATTTTCATTTCCTAAAATTACTATAATTCAAAGAAAAATTACCTTTAAGGCTGTTTTGAACTTCTAAAGCTATATCGAGAGCATTAAAGGGCAGAACTGGTTCGTTGGCAATTTGCAAAATCACTTCTCCTGAGAGCTGAAAGAAAAAGAAAAAAAACCACTAGAATTTAGCATTAAGGGTTTTTGTTTGTTTTTCATTATTTCATGCAATTTTATACTCTTATCTAGAGTTAAAAAAAAAAAGGGAAATTTATTTTTATAAAATTTCTTTTTTTTTTAAACCTTCTTAAAAATTTTTGTCTTTCTGTAAAGAAAAATAAAGTCCTCAGTACATTTTCCATGTCTCAGAATAGTATAAGGAGATATAATATTTTCTTTCTTTTGGGCTAAAATATTAAGAAATAGTTTCCCTAGTTGAAGGAGTTGTTAAATGTAAACTTTAAAACAATTCCTTATAAAACAATTCAGAATGTCACATGATAAAACTATCAAGAGGAACAACTGCAAATCAATAGCTGGCTATAGGAGCGAGGAAAATTCTCAGACAAAATTAATGATCAGTTAATTGCATGTAAGATATAATTTTTAAAATCCACATACTTCATGCTTTACTATATTCATAATCAGTTTTCCAAACTTTATCAAAACTAATACCATTTATATATCTCTGAGATCAACATTTAAATTAAATTATAAAAATATAAAAATTTAAATGACATTCTCTAAACTCACACCTGGAATTTTCACACATGCATATGTTTCTACCACTGCACTCCAAAACTGGGTCTGCAAACCAACATATGCAATACAGCTTGAACTAGCATCTGCTTAATAGACTGAACAAGTCATATGCATTTTTATACATCTCTAAGGAATGTAGGGCTGGCGGCAAATGCCATTGTTACTCCCCACCCCTTCAAGTGATATTTAATATTTACCTGGGCTTAACAAATGTCCCTATATCTCTTTTAACCCTGAAGCTGGCACACAGGGAAATTTGACTGTGTTGATGTTATTAATGCACTATGAAATTTTGTTAATGAATGAAAACATTGTCTTGTGAAACTACACAAGGGAAATGAGCACACTAATTTGAGACAATAAAGAACATATAAAAGAAGCAACCTACAAGGAGAATGTGATGTTAAATATTCAAATCTACACATTTAACAAGGGTCAAATTCCATTTAATATTTAAAAGTTATATTTCCCAGTTGTTTGCACAATTTATATCATAATGAAAATACAGCTTGAGGAAATGTATTTCTTAGGAACAGGAAAGGAAAATACCTTTGAGATCCCTTTATTTCTTTGAGATATTTTTATCCCAATGTAACAACCACTTCTCCCCTAATGTGTCAAGTATTTTGCAGCATTTTATCCTCAGCATATGATCACAAACATCCTAGGAAACTGCCTACTTTGACTATGCTGTTAGCTATTCAGGAAAAAAAGCATTATATGCAATATGTTGATATGAATCCTGTTTCTACCCCACTCCACCTCTTCTAAACCGTGTAAGGAAAACCAATGTTTGGAAATAAATTGTTTGTAAAAGGAATGTTTAAAGACGATTAAGAGGTATTATGGTCTCTTTTCTCCAATTTGCATTGGAGAATAGAAACTATAGAACAGACATGTTTTGTTTACATTTTTGGAATCTGAAAACCACACATTACAGAAGATTAAAATAAAAGAATTGGAAGAGAGGAGAAAGGGAACTTCTTGTGCTGCTGGAGAAAGCTGTTTTGTTTTGGGTCTTTTGAGTCATTTGGCAACTAGAACAACCGGAATATAAACCAGCCACCTTGCTATGTCTCAAAAAGAAGCTGGCAACAAATACTGGGACTTCCAAGGCACCTGACCCACCATGGAATTCAAGTAAACAGGCTTTATTTGCATCTTCAATCACATGAGGGAGATTTGTATATGCTGTGCCATGCAGTGAGCAGAGACAAACCATACTGCATGCCCTTTTTGTGGATTCTAGAACTCATTTTCATTCAGGCATGACAAAGTAACTTTCCTTTACATTTAAATAAGGCTCCTTTCTTTTCAAAGTGCTTTATACACATTTTGTTGTCTCATTTAATTATCTTGCCAAGCCTAGAGGCAGAATCAGTTCAGATCAGTTCAGTTGGTCAGTGTATCCAACTCTTTATGACGCTATGGACTGCAGCACGCCAGGCTTCCCAGTCCATCACCAACACCTGGAGCTTGCTCAAACTCATGTCCATCAAGTCGGTGATGCCATCCAACCATCTCATCCTCTGTCATCCCCTTCTCCTCCTGCCTTCAATCTTTCCCAGCATCTGGGTCTTTTCAAATGAGTCAGTTCTTCACATCAGTGGCCTAAATTATTGGAACTTCAGCTTCAGCATCAGGCCTTCCAATGAATATTCAGAACTGATATCATTTAGGATTGACTGGTCAATCTCCTTGCTGTCCAAGGGACNAGATGTTGGCAATTTGATCTCTGGTTCCTCTGCCTTTTCTAAGTCTAGCTTAAATATCTGGAAGTTCTTGGTTCACATATTGTTGAAACTTAGCTTGGGAAATTTTGAGCATCACTTTGGTAGCATGTGAGATGAGTACAGTTGTGCCATAGTTTGAACCTTCTTTGGCATTACTCTTTGGGATTGGAATGAAAACTGACCATTTCTAGTCCTGTAGCCACTGCTGAGTTTTCCAAATTTGCTCTCATATTGAGTGCAGCACTTTAACAGAATCATCTTTTAGGATTTGAAATAGCTCAACCGGAATCCCATCACCTCCACTAGCTTTGTTCCTAGTGATGCTTCCTAACGTCAACTTGATTCCACACTCCAAGATATCTGGCTCTAGGTGAGTGATCACACCATCATGGTTAAATGGGTATATTTAAGATCTTTTTTGGCATAGTTCTTCTGTGGATTCTTGCCACCTCTTCTTTATGTCTTCTGTTTCTGTTAGGTCCATATCATTCCTGTCCTTTATTATGCCCATCTTTGCATGAAAAGTTCTCTTGGTATCTCTAATTTTCTTGAAGAGCTCTCTAGTCTTTCCCATTCTATTGCTTTCCTCTATTTATTTGCAACTGATCACTTAGGAAGTGTTTCTTATTGCTTCTAGCTATTCCTTGGAACTCTGCATTCAGATAGATATATCTTTCCTTTTCTCCTTTACCTTTCACTTCTCTTCTTTCCTCAGCTATTTGTCAGGCCTTCTCAGATAGTGGAGGAATTAATCCTATATTGAAAACATTGAGTATAAGCCTTACTAGGTTGCAGTTAAGATAGTAACATAGGAGGTTCCTGAACCCCCTCCTCCCAAAGATACATTGAGTCTACAGCTATACATGAAACAATTCCCTATGGAAAAGTAAAATCCAGAAACTAGATGAAATGACCCTGGCACATTGGGGGAACAACAATTAAAAAAACACATTGAAATGAATAACAAAGCCTAAGACATGCTCTTGCTATAAACTCCACCCCATCACAGTGATATACAATAGGAAAGGAACTCAGAAGTCTCAATTTCTCCATGAAGAGAGAAATGTTAAGACCCAACATCTAAAGGCTCAACTTTTAAGACTTCCAAGCAAGGGACAAAATATCAAGCCCTGAAAGACAAAAGGCTTCTGTCTACATGGTATACTACACTACAGCCAACAAAGAAATGGTACCTAATAGACTCAGGAGGATTCACTGCACTTCCCCACCTCAGGCTCAGTACAGAGGAAAAACGCCCATCATCCAGCCTTTACCTGAAGAGGTCTTATTGAATACTTTAAAAGTTGCTGCCTGCAGATCACATCTCTAATTTAGCCCTAGGGACACAACTCAATCATCAGTGGAGAACAAGGAAGCCAATTGAAAGATATATCCATCTGAATGCAGAGTTCCAGAGAATAGCAAGGAGAGATAAGAAAACCTTTTTAAGTGAACAGTGTAAGTAAATACAATACAATAAAAAAACAATAGATTGGGAAAGACTAGAGATCTCTTCAAGAAAATTAGAGATATCAAGGGAACATTTCCTGCAATGATAGGCACAATAAAGGACAGAAAGAGTATGGACCTCACAGAAGCAGAAGATGTTAAGAAAAGTTGGCAAGAATACACAGAAGAACTATACAAAAAAGGTCTTAATGACCCAGATAACCACAATGATGTGATCACTCACCTAGAACCAGACATCCTAGCATGTGAAGTCAAGTGCGCTTGGGAATCATCACTATGAACAAAGCTAGTGGAAGTGACAAAATACCAACTGAGCAATTTCAAATCCTAAAAGATGATGCTGTGAAAGTGCTGCACTCAATATGCCAGTAAATTTGGAAAACTCAGCAGTGACTACAGGACTAGAAAAGTAAGTTTCCATTATAATCCCAAAGAAGGGTGATGCCAGGGAAGGTTCAAACTAGTGCACCATTGCAATCATCTCACACTCTGGCAAGGTAGTGCTCGACATCCTTCTAGCTAGGCTTCAAAAGTATGTGAACCTAGAACTTCCAGATAGGCAAGCTGGATTTAGGAAAGGCAGAGGAACCAGAGATCAAACTCCCAACATCCATTGGCTCATACAAGAAGCAAGAAAATTCCAGAAAAAATATTTACTTCTGCTTCATTGACAATGCTCAAGCCTTTGACTGTGTAGATCACAGCAAACTGTGGAAAATTCTTAGAGATGGGAATACCAGACCACCATACCTGCCTCCTGAGAAATCTGTAGGCAGGTCAAGAAGCAACAATTAGAACCAGACGTGAACAATGGACAGATTCAAAATTGGGAAAGGATTATTTTAAGGGCTGTATATTGTCACCCTGACTATTTAACTTATACGCAGAGTATATCATGCAAAATGCTGGGCTGGATGATGCTCTAGCTGGAATCAAGATTGCTGGACAAATATCAACAACCACAGACATGCAGATGATACGACCTTTATGGCAGAAAGCAAAAAGGAAACTAAAGAGCCACTTGAAGGAGGTGAAAGAGGAGTGTGAAAAAGTTGGCTTAAGACTCAACATTCAAAAAACCAAGATCATGGCATCTGATTCCATCACTTCATGGCAACTAGATGGGCAAACAGTGGAAATAGTGGCTGACTTTATTTTCTTGGGCTCCAAAATCACTGTGGACTGTGACTAC